TGATATTTTTCCTCTTAACGCCCCTGAAGAAGTATATATTTATGATTTATCATTTCAAATAACTACAAAACATTTTTAGAATTTTACTTGCCTTTTTTTATTTAATTTTGCATTATTGGCACTGATTCCTCTTCATTTTTCAGGAGTCTGATGTGGATCAAAGGACCCACCTCACTGTTGGCTTTTTAGCCCCTGAACCATACAGGGCTCCTCCTGCAAGCTGAATCTGTCCTTGTTAGGCTATTTTGTCATGGTCTAATATTCTGTCAGACCTAAAATCTTGAAAACTAATGATACATCGGCAAAAAAATATTTATATATATAAATACCTGTTTTGGGCCAAATACCCCCCTTTCTACGCCCCTGATTAAGAAAAAAAAAATTTGAAATATTTTTATGCCCCTTATGGATTAAAAGAATATAGGTGCAAAGTTAGCACCATTTATCTCTATTATTACAAGAGTTATTACAAACTCCAGGAGACTAGTGAGGTCCTTTACAATATTTATATTTTTGCAACCTAATGTTGTAGAACTTCAATTTTTCAAACTATAAATTCTCCTAGTTCAAATAGTCAAAATTTGATACCTCAAGAGTTACACAATTAGGTTTAGGATATCTTAGGAATTTGAAAATAAGAGTTGATTTCTATATTATTTCTTCAATTTTAGAATTTAAATGTGGAAATCGTCATATTACTATATAAGTATAATCATATTTTTCTACCTTGTACTGCGGCATCTTCGCTGCGGCAAGAATAAGAGAAGGGTTGGTGGTTGCATCACGAGGTTGAAACTTGGCAATTGCCTAAAATATTTTAAAATAAAAAAATAAAAATCAAGACTTATACAATATGTTAACTTAGCTTAGCAATTTGCTTGATATATAAAAAATCAAGAAATCAAGCGATTGCCTGAAAAATTTCAAAACAAAAACAAAAATCTAGAAATACAACTTAGCAATTGCCTGAAAAATTTCAAAATAAAAAACAAAAAATCGAGAGTTATACAACTTGGCAATTGCCTGATATATTTCAAAATAATAATAAAAAAATATGAAGATTTATAAATACTTGGCAATTTTATGAAATATGTTATCTGTTAGAGTTTCACTGTTTTCTATGTTTCAAAGAATGTAAAATGCATAACTCGCAACTTACGAGAAGGTAAAAATCCGAAAAAAATTAAATGTTTCCAATATTTCCAGAAATTTAACCAACATTTTAAAACATTTAGATTTAAAAAATGTTACCTCAAAGTCCCCGGTGTCAGCCACGACGAGAGTTCCGCTAGCCTTCAACAGGTCCAAGGAGGACATGGCGGTCTTCTTGTTCTCAGACATTTTTAAGTTCTGGAATATAGTCGAGATCAATCTTCGTCATCACAGCCGAGGAATCGCCCAGACCACTCTTCATGTAGTGGAGCAGGTACAAAAGTGGTGTACAACACATTGGAGGTACAGTACAAGACAGTAGTCCCGTACATAATATGAGCAACAAAACAGAAAAAAGTTACAAATGTACATGTAAAAGTGAAAAATTTATAACTACCAAACGTTATGTAAAATGCATTTAGTTATAAAAGTTATAAAAGTTTAGTTACAAACCATTCAAAATGGAAAATATACTCAGAGTCCGTTAAAACAATTTCAAACATAAAACAAATCGGCCAGTTAAACGAAATATTTAAAAATAATAAAAAAAAATTTAACCGGAAATAAAAAAAAAATTAATTATGTCATGAGCAGAATTGTCGAACAAAACATTATTAAAATCACAAGACAATTAACTAGGACAAATAAGTTATTGTAGTTTAAGATCAACTTTTTAGCCCAGAGGCCGAATTTAAAGAATTTGAGCCGCGGCTTAAATTTGAGACGCGGCTCAAATATGGTTAGTTACACTTAAAATTGTAATTAATGTTTCAAGATTCAAGCCAGCGATTATTTGAAAATGATTTTTGGCGGATTTGAGACGCGGCTCAAATTCATTAAATTCGGACTCTGGAGTTACACTCTTAATTTTTCCCTTTTCGGTTGACCAACTGAACTCAGTATGAAAAAACATATCTTTGAAAAAAAAACCGTTAAAGTTTGTTTATGAAGGAAGGGATTAAATGAAAAGGAAACAACGTGTTTCAATGCATTTTCAAATATAGGCTTCTGATCTGTAGTTTGTAGTGGAACACGCACATTATAAGCTGTGGTTAACAATATTTTAAATATATAAGATATATATATATATATATGTATATATATATATATATATATACATATATCCGTGGCCAGGGTGGAAGATAAGTCAATACTGAAGCAAGGGAGCCACATTTCAACATTTCAGGGGTGTAGACAGTGTAAAAGTTTAGTTATATTGTACAAAATTCCAAAATAAAGTTTTATTTTTTTGATCATGTTTGATTGTTAAATTTTTGTCCCGTTCCTAAGACCAACCCCCCGAGTGTGGATATTTGCTAAATTAACAAATATTATAAATCCTTGAACGTTACGCGTTGTGGTCACATGGAATGTATAAATTAGATGGTTTGATGGTACAAGGAGGTAGGGGGTGGAGTTTACATACTCAACCAGAATTAAAGGGAGTGTTAACGAAAAATGAAAATGGGGTTCCCGCGACCAGAAAATCACATATAATCAAGTACAGATTACCGATTCACAACGGTACCCATGCCACCTTTATCTGATAAATAACGTGGAAGACAATATCGTTTTTATAAGCCTAGAAGTGTTCAATTCTGCTTTTTGTTAAATGTTATTCTTCAGTAGAAATGCGGAAGTCACTATTGCAGGAAACCACGATCAAAAATAATAAGTTTTCCGAATTGTAAAGACAAAGATTGAGAGAGTACCGTTGTGAATCTGGCCTTGCATTCTTGGCATGGAGGGTAACTTGAAATTACGCTTTAAGCTCAATTAAGAAATAAGTATACAAGCTCCCTTTGGATAGGTCCTTGATGTGCTTAAAACGCAATAGGACATGTTTGGAACATTGAATTAAAAAATCCACTGTAGCACTTGCGTACTTGCAAAAATAGACCAAATGTTTTTAATTGAAAAAAGCTCAGAATTATAAATCATCAGTCAAATAATTTTCAATGAAACCCCAAGTTAACTTTTATAAAACATTTACCAGTATTTAATTCTTTCGACAATAATTTTATAACAAACACTTCGCGAAGAGTGTTTTTTTTTGATTAATTATAGAAAAAGGTGGTATTCAACATTAGAATCACAATAAAATGCAATGCACCATAGTTTGGTGGTGTTCTTATTAAATAACACATTTATCATTGTTCAGTTGGATCAAACACACTCCAGCTGGAATATAAAATTCAAGTAGAAACTGTAAGAAACCAAATAAATAAAAATGATGATAAATGATTTATCATCGTGTACGCTGTACAGTGAACAGTGTGCAGTAGTGCAATGCAAATACAAATGTACTTGCGATTAAGTTGTTCTACTCACCCTTGATGAAAAACCCGGTTCCTGAAAACATAAACAAACACAACAACAACTATGTTTTCAATTTTCTTTATATCATTCTTTTTTCTCTGTTTTTCTTCTATTTTTTTTCTTTTTCTGAATGATCTCTTTTTTTATTTTTTTTTTTATTGAAAACATGAAACGAATGTTTGCTTCCTGGAGGACAAAATAATTAAAGAAAAAAATTGAATCATTCCATTTTATTAAGGTTTGGCCAAAATATCATTCCATTTTTTAAAGGTTTGGCCAAAATCTTAAGATACGGATCAGATATAATGCCTTCTTAGTTTTCTTAACGTTTCTGCCTTTTTTACACATTCACATGTTTATAAAATACCGGTTTATCCTTGGAAGCAAACAAATACATATACAAACTGTAATTAGTAAATATGTAGTTTTATTTTGTACGAGGTGTGAATCCCTCTTATTTATGAGTTGAGAAGTTTATCCCTCTCTATCTCCTGAATCCTTCTCAATCTCTTCTCGTTCTTCCTTTTCATCTTCTCCAGGATATCTTCTCCCTCGATGCTCTGCAGAATAAAAACTTTCATTTAACTCAGGTTGAAACTATTTCATCGAAAATTTCAAATCTTAAACAGTAGTAAATTAGATTTAGAAACAATGTGAAAAAATTGAAAAAATCAAAACTTATTAATTATTAACTGATAAAAAAAGTTCATACGGGAATGTAAATTATCGTCTATTTGTCCCTTTTTTTAGATATTGCAAAAATTGTTTTAGTTTAGGGTAAAAAAAAACAACAATTTTTTGATCCTCGAACTAATATCAATAACAAAAAACGATTTTTGCTTATAATTTCAAAAATTTTTATGAGATTTTTACTTTTCTAAACTCAGTTTTCAAGACGGATAATCTGGACCCCATCTTGATTTCTTTTGAAGACTATTTTTAAGGTTTACATTAGTGATTTGATTTGTACAAAAAAGTTGAAATGTGAATCTTTTTTGACTGTCTCAAAGAAAACTTTTGAACTGGTGCAAGGTGAATCTAAACACTGCCCCGTAGTTTGACCCTTCTAAACCAAGAAAAAAATTTTCACTCAAAAATATAAAGCCTAAGAAGCATTATCCCGATCAGAATTTTTTTACACTATTGGTTTAAGTTTTATTTATCAAATGTTAATTGGCAAAAACCGGAAATTTTATCATGCCAAGAAGAAAAGGGTCTGATTTAGAAAAAACTATTGACTTCATAAAAAGTTTATAATTACGACAACAAATATGATTCTTGTTAGAAATAATAAAAGAAACCTACCGCATCCAAATCTGTGATTTTTCTTTTCCCCACTTTCGGTGATTTTTTGTCCGGCAATCTAGATTTGTGGATTTTTTCAGCTGACCGGGGTTTCTCTGCAGACTTAACCTTGGATCCAGGACGGGTTTTATCTCCTGATCCGTCTAGTTTCTCTCCCAACCGTTCCCGTACATTCTTCTCCCCGTTGTTCTGGTTTAACTCCTCTCCGGAGCTAAACCTCAACCTTCCACTATCTCCGCTACTCATTCTGAAGTAAAAACTTTTTATTTAAAATATGTTCTTAATTCACTCGCCCCCCCCCCCTTCCCTGGAGGCTTCATTCAAGTCGAAGGAAACAACTGTTATTCTCTTTGATTGTTTTCTTTTTCATCTCTTGTCGGATTTTCCCTGTATCACCATAATTGAACTTAATTCCTTTAGTTTAAAAGTTTACGCACGCGGTGGATATAAGTTATCCCTGACCAAAGTTAAACCTTCCATATCAATTAAAATTTTACAAAATAAACTGCAGTGCTTAGTTCATTTTGATTTTGATGTGGATCCGGATCCGCACTGGAAAACAATGTATCCGGATCAAGGTCCTGAACATTTCTTCAAGATTTACTCATTTTTTTAACAAATGAATTTGTTTTGCTGAAACTTTGTGATATGGTGAACCATTCAGAAATTTTGATATTTTTGTGTTAATCTATTATTAGCCAACAATTTTGATTTGTGTTTTGAGAGCAACATTTTGGGTTTTAGTTATTATTTGGCCCCCTTTGATCCGGGGATCCACATATTTTTTCAGTTCCGAATCTGGATCCAGGAAGTCAATGCGGATCCAACGGATCCGGATCTTAAGCACTGAAATAAAGGAATCTGCGTTTTCTTAACAAAATGGATTATTTTTTAAAAGAGAAAGTTCAGTTTCTCAAACTATCGATTAATTTGATCTAATTTAGGTAAGAGTGAGAAAAATGAATAAAAAGGTAACTAATACTGATCCAGTGTTCTCTTACCTAGATTTAACTCTGGTATCATATATAACAGGACTTAGTTCCCTCTCAAAATATTTAAACACATCCTCCTCCTCCTCATCTAGCTCCTTCTCCTCCGTTTCGCTCAGCACAGCGCTCTTCTCTCTCTTCTTCTTCTTCTTTTTATCTTTCTTCTTCTTCTTAGTTTTCTTTTCCTTCTGTCTGATCATTTCTGCCATGATCTCCTCCTCGGTGAAGTTCAGGTTCTCTACTTTGTCCCCCAACCGTAAATGCAAAGATTTCCTAGAAAATAATATTTTTAATAAAAAAACTATTTTTTTTAACAAAAATCCAATATTTGTTTTTCTAATTGAAATAAAAAATAAAAAAGACTTACTTAAGTGTTGATTTAGGCGGAGAAGTTTTAACTCTGATTGGAATCTCCGGAGAAATTGAGACTTTTCGAACCATGATCCGCCTGTTCTCTCCTAGGACGGAGCGGGAGGGAGGAGACGGAGATTCATCCTCACTTAGAACTATCTTCTTCTTTTTCTTCTTCTTGATTATACTAAACAAATATCCATTAGAAATAATATTTAAATTTTGGCTGTAGATACAGACAAAACTCATTTCACATGTAACGCTAACTTCATAATTCTCGTAATCCGGAAGGATACAGTACAGGAGATCGTGGGGGAGGGGTGATTAGCCTTGAGCATTGGTGAAATCAAGAAGTCGATAGAGAGAAATACATTTAGAACAATTTTCGAGGATAACGAATTAAAAATTAAAAATGATGAAGCAAACCTTTCATTTGGAGGAACAACTTTTCTTCCTTTGGATGGAACAATAGGACCAAGATCATCAAGATCTATATCTTCTAGTTCCGGAGTCTGTGTTCTCCGTTCCACTTCCTCCTCCTCCTCATCTCTTTGCAGTAGTTCGACTCGCTGGGGTAGATCGTTCCTTCTACTCTGTTCGTCCCGGCGCTGCAGATCATCTCGTCTGTGTTGGTAAGGAGGTTCTTCCGCTTCTTTTAACTGTTTTCTCTTGTGCAACTGAACCCGTAGATCAGTAACCTGGAGATAATTCTTATAATTCTTTCAATTATAAAGATTTGGTTGGGGAATATAATTCCCCTTCCCCCGTAAAATATTAAGTTAACTTGTGAAGGAGGGGGATACCTGCATTTTTCTCGGAGAAGATAAGCCAGCATCTCGACCTATTCTACCGTTCTCGTTCATGTCAAATTCATGTCTGTGCTCCGGGAGCATTTCATCCAACCTCTCGCTCCGTGGGTTCAAATCTCCAGAGCTGGTTCTCAGGGAGATCTTTTTTGGTTCAGACGCTTTCACAACATTCTTAACAAGAAAATCATAAGTAAGCACAAAATATAATTATCAAATAAAACAATTATCAGGATTATAAAACATGTGTGCTCGGTGGGAAGCTAGATGTCTAATAGCACAAACCTGTGCTTGGAATTTTTTTCTTCGAGCTTCAAGCCTTTCCCTCTCCGGGGTTGGAAGTTTAGAAATTCTCTCCTCATATTCTCTTCTCCCTCTCTCCTCCCGTTCTAACTTGGTCTCCTTCTGTTCTCCGTTCATCTCCGTCTCATCTTTAGGACGGGAACTCCTCTCTCCCTTTTTCATTCCACCAACCGGAGACGGGCGATTGATTCGTCCTCTTGAGTTCGAATCGCGTTGGAAAGGAGAATTTCTCACGGGAGATCGTCTTCGTCTCCAGTGATCACCATCCGGACTTAAGCTCGGTGTTCGTCCGTTCTCATGACGTTTTACTTTAATTTTCTTTCTTAACTTCTTTCCGTCGATTATCTTTCGTTCTGTTTGTATTCTGGGTTTTTTCTCTTGTTTCTTCTCAGCCGGTTTATTTTCGGCCAACACCTCGTCCGCGAATTCGTCCAAGTACTTGGAGAACTCGTCTACCTCGGCTGTAGCGTCAAGCTTCAGGACATCGTCCATACTTGGATCTGTCTCGTCGGTCTTAATATTTTCAAATTAAATTCAGTTAAAAATAATATGATATTTTAAACAGATATACAGAAGTTTGAAGATTTTTTAAAGAAACCAAATTTAAAGCGGAACATAAAAAAAAACTTTTGTAAGGTATATTTCAGTTACATCAATAAATGAGTTTTTATTTTGGTAAACTGCATCAAAGAGAGTTAATAAAGCTTAGAAGATATTTTAAAAAGCATCAATATTAGTTTAAAAGCTTGGAAATGAAGATGCCCCACCCCCCCTATGGTTCTTTAAAATATATTTCCCCATTAGAAAATTTGTTAGAAGACAGACTTACCTTTTTGCTTTCCGAGTTCTTTATATCATTCACCACGTCTTTACTTTTAGTCTGATCGTCCTGACTTAGATTTTCCTTCTCCTTATCCTTAACAAGTTCCAGTTAAATTGGTATTTAGGGATCGGTATTCATTCATTACTCACGATTCAAATCTTAGTTCAAGTAGTTAGAAAAAAACGAACATTGTTTGTTGTTACTTGACCAATTATCAGTTAATTCACGTTGAGAAATAAATCTTACATGTTTGTAGGTTATGTAGCTCTGTGCACAGAGAGAAACATATGCAAAAGCACATTTCCTCCCATGGTAAGATTTAGAAAAAGAGCTCTCAGGTTTTATCAACAAACTTTCTTACAATTATGATAATTATAATTTGTTTGTTTTATGAATTAACCAATATTAGGTCAAGTAAAAACATACAATGATCGTATTTTTAGTACAATTTGAAAAATCCTAAAAACCTGATATTTGAGTACAACCAAGATGTAACTTGCCTTGAATTAAGGAAAACGTATGAATATTTTGCTTACAGTTTCCGAGAAATAAAAAAACTTGATTGTGAAAGTTCCATTTTTCATTATTTTATTCCAGCTGAAACTAATCTAATAATTTGCACAAGTTCATTCAAACATTTTACTCGTTCTCAATATATAATTCAAATTCAATTTCAGGAGTTTCAAAAATGAGCTCTAGGAGCTATCCAATCTCTGGATAAGAAAATCAACAGTGCAAATTTTAAATACTGAATAATTAGGCTGTATTGACGCTTTAAACCCTTATCTGTCTATGAACTTCATATTTTTTACGTTTATCATTTAAAACAAACAAAATTTTAGATTTTGCAATTTTTTCCACTTCTTTTCAGATTTCCAATAGATCTATTTTAAATCCTTTTTTTCAGTTCTGGACGTTCAAAAATTTCTCTAGGTAAGGTTCCAAAGTTAGACATTTTATTTTAAGGGGTTTTATTCGCTGAATTGGGGTAAATATATGATTTTAAAGGTAAAATAAAATATTTTAGATAAAAAAGTATGAAAAAAAATAAAGAAACTTACCGTAGAAATTCTAAGAAAATATAAACCCCTGGCATATTACCTTGATCACTGGTTTTGTTTCAATCTTACTCTCCTCCTTCTCGTCCTCATCCTCCGTCGGAGGATTTGTATCCGTCTCCCACTCAGATACACTTGGTTCCCTTGGAGGCCGGGGAGCAGGAGGCCCTCGTCTTGGAGATCTATACAAGCTTAATAATTACACGGAGTAGTTCATGAATAAAACAAAGTTTTCAACTTTAAAACATTAGACTGTCTAGTGTTTATAATCGAATGTGTTAAGGTCCAGAATTTAAAAAATTCTGTTATTTGAAGAATTAAAATATGGGGTTGGGTTACGAAGATATGAGGAATGAATATTAAGTTGGACTTATTTTTGATATTTCTGATTTTAGTCACACAACTCAAGGAATAAACCCATACAAATTTACTCTCTTCGCAGCGCAATTTAAGTCGCTATGATATCAAATGTTTTACAATTACGGATGCAACAAATTATTACTGTAAAAGAAGATTTAAAGGTTGAATAATTAATATTGAATAATAACCTGCGCTGATGAGGAGCTGAGCGAGGGGATCTAGGTCGGGTTGGATCTACACGTCGAGGAGATTTACGTCCGTCAAACGGAGATCGACGGGGTCCCGGCGGGGTTCGTCGCATGGGCGATCTTCTCATAGGAGGAGAGCGTCTTCCTGGAGACCATCTTCTGGGCGGCGATCTATACGGAGATCCAACCCGTCTCCGGGGTGGGGATCGTCTTATGGGGGAGAATGATCGCCTCCGTTCGTATGATCTTGATCTAGATCTGTATCTCCAGTGTTGGACTGGACTAGGCGGAGAGTTTAATCTGCGTGTGCGGGGCGGAGAGACGGGTCTGAAAGGGGGCGGAGCTACCAGGGGGTTGAAGGGGGGTGGAGGAGCATGTGGACTGTAGTATGGTAGAGGAATGTTGGTAAGTAGAGGAAGGGTTGGAACAGGAACAAGGGTCTGAGCAACTTCTTCCTGCTGGGTGATGATTGATACTAGATTGGTTCGCGACCTGTGCGCAGTTATAACAAATTCAGGACGCTTCTCCTCTTCAACTTTAGGCTTAACAGGTTCAGCTTTGGTGGCATTCTTCTCCTTCAATTTGATCGACTCAAGTGCTGCAATTCTAATTAAAAAATTATTTCATTTCTATTCTCAAGTTTTAAATGATATTTCCATATCGTTAGGATAATAAAAAACAAGAAATTGTAAAAAAAAACTCTGATCAATGTTAATAATATTTGTCTACATTGGCCAAGATTTGCCAAATCAATAAAAAGTCTGAGAGGGTATTTGAGGGTATATGTAAAGTTGTCATCTCGGTTTGGAGGCGGTCTGGGGGTCCATAACAGGGCCTCTTTTTCAGATTTCTTTTCCTATGTACGATCATAACTCATGACTCCCTGGACCGATTTGCCTCAAATTTTGACTGGGTTACTCGAGAAAACCACGGAAATTTTCTTAGTTAAGTTTTAAGATTCAAGTAGAGTGGGCCAGCTTTTATGGGGAAAAATAGCTGAAATCGTAATTTAAGACAAAGTGCAGGAAAACGGTATAACTAGAAATACTCTGGATAACGCTGGGTTTCCAAGCTAGTAATACATAAACTACACAAGGACACTTTCATGATTAGTTTTTTGTTCTTCTATCAAAAACGATTGACTTCAGCTCCGTAAGTGTAAACATTTGGACCCCCGGTATAAATAGTTGCCTTACAACTAACTCAAAAGAAAAACTTTTTCAAGAATTGTGGGATAATTATAGTTTCAGATGAAGCCGAAATGAAAAACCGTCAACAAATTGATAATCGATAAACAAGAGACACAATGTTAAATACCTGAGAGCAAGAAGTTCGTCGTCATCGTCTTCATCCTCGGCTACAGTTTCACCAACAGTACCAGATGTATTTGCATCCGTTGCTCCGTTTACACTAAACCATTAGAAAATTATTGATCAAATTATCACTTAAAGCTCGGAGCTGTAAGTGTAACTTTCAGTAACCCTTTATTGATAGAGGTTCATGTCCGATTTTCAACAATACCATGGGAAGCTTTGTCTGATCAAGTATGAATTAGATCTCCATGTCTTTGTGTTTTAAATACTACTTATTTCATTAGTGATTTTCTTACTAAAGTGACTTGCGCATTTTAATGTAGTAATTATCAGAATTAAACTACATATTCCATAAAATTTAATCTGATAAAGGTTTCAAGGATACTAATTAGTGTGGTATTTGCTTACTTTAATTAATAACTTAGTTAAAGCCCCTGCGTACACAAAAGTTTAGAACATAATAACAATTGAGTTATAAATCAATGTAATAATCAATGTGATATTCAATAATAATCCATTAATCTGATAATCACTGTTAGTAATTTTAAAAGAAAGAATAGTACAATCGAAGGGTTATAATTGAAAAATTGTTAGGTGAAATTAATTATTGCAGCTTTGAACGAGGGTATATTTAGAAGGAGGAGAGATAGGAAGATCTCTATGGAAGATCAAAATATTGGACATAAATTTTTGAAAAATATTTCTTAGCATCTGGGAATAACAGTTTCGAGGGGATTTTTTTGGCTTACTCCTGTGATGTACTCTCCAAGGATCTAACCTGGGTATATATTTAAGGAATCCCCCCCCCCAAGTATATATTTCAAGAATCCTCCCCCCGAGGTATATATTTCAAGAATTTTGCAAAGGATTTTCGATGATCGGGGAAAATGGACATCTAAGCAAGTTTTTCATTCTTTCTGAATCTTTTAATCAGTGCTTAGGATCCATTTAATTTTTACGCGGATCCGGATCCGCACTGCAAAAAACGGATCCGGATCCAAATCCGGATCAGGAACAAGGTTATTTCCAGGTTATTCATGTTAAAACTTGATGACAAATTCAGAAATCAGGAAATTTTTTTATAATCTCTCTTTTTACAATAGTTCAGATATCGATAATTTGTCCCTTGGATCTGCATAGAAATTGTCCTTGCCTAACCTAACCCTTAAATAATACAAAATAAATATTTTTTGATGAAAAAGTTGGGATCTAGGTGATGTACAATATTGATAGGAGGGGGGGGGGNGGGGGGGGTAAAAAAATCGTTCTCTAAGATTGACCCTAATTGTAGTACTCCTTGACGATTATCTATTCTACCTGGATTGTGAAGTATCTTCTGTTGGTTTAGTATCCAGACTAGACTCTGTCAAGGTTGTATCTAAACTTGTATCTTCAAAAGAAGATGCCATCATCTATCTGAATTATTGAAAATAATCGATTGATCTTTATGAAATATGTGTCGGATACATTTTATAGCTGCGACTTCCTTGTCGAGCTAGTCCGGGATATCGCAGCTACATCACAACTAGAAAATAACCTAACCTGCCTGTTGGATCAAATACTCATTATATTGCCATTTTCAAAGTCTTATTTAGTAAAGAGGTGGAGAAAGAGTTTCTTGGTTAAAAAAAAACGATTGATATAATTAGAAAATATATCGGTCAGGCGACTCGAGTTAAAGTAAGCTCTTGCGTCTACAAGATATTTTTTTTGAAATCAGAGTTGTAATTTTTCATATAAACATTTCCAGGGCTGCCCTGGGCTTGAAAGTTTAGTAGAAGGATTGTAAAATATGTCCCAGGCCAAACCCGTGATTCATTTTCAAGAAATAATTCATTTCAACTCACAATATATTTAATAAACTGTATCCAATGAATCCAATTGAATTTGTAATTGTAAATGTCTTAATTTTTAGGTTACAATTTTTCCGAGGATTTTGATGCGATTGAAAGCGCAGAATAAGAGAAATGCCACTGAATACTCACAAACTTTCTTTTGCAGCCTTGACTGTCGTCTTTGCTTGAATTTGTGAAAGTTGCCAATAATCATAAGGGTGAAATATCATTTGCACTAATGATTGATCGGACTAACGTACATTCGTACTATAACGTTCATTCGAACTAAAGTTCATTCGCACTATAGTGCGACTGAACAATTAATTGTTCAATCCAACTAAAATCCACGTGGAAGGTTTTTTAAGCAAGTGGAGAACTATTTTTTTAACTTCTAGCGGAATTCGGTTAATTGATTGCAAGGGCGTATACAGAAATAAATGTAGGGGGGGGCAAGATTTTTTTTTGCCCCCCCCTAGGAGCTCCTAGGGGGGGGCAAAATTCGAACTGTAAATTCATAACACTTGGCTTCTTGGATATCAGGCATAAGTATAAGATACTTAAAAGGCACACATACAGTCCAAATAATTACCTTCTAAGCATTATTTCTAAAAAATCGACATTTTATTATACTTTTATAGGTATATTTAGTATTTAAACTAGAGATAGTAAAAGACATTNTTCAGTTGTTTTTGATATCGGCCATCTATGCAGGTTTATTGCTGACATTGTTGTAATGAGAACTTCCCTTTGTCAGCTGCATTACATGTATCAGTGTCTTGCAGTAATTTAGAAAGAAATTAAAAGACCTCCTAGCCTTAACTGCATTCGGCTAGGTTCAAGGTGATTTGGTGTACCCCCTAGGAAAGGAACATCCATGATACCAATGATGAGCTCTCTCAGAATTAGTTTTGATTAAGATTCCACAGCAAGCAGTTTCTGAGTTCCACTATATCTGCTCGTGAAGTAGGATAAGGTTGGAATTTAGGAGGTAGGCGGATGAGGATGGGGGTGTAAGGGTAACAGGTATGAGATATACCATAGTCCTCACTTTTAACGTGTAAATTCCCACGTGGACAGATTTTTTAAAGAAAAAATAACCCGCTAAGCATGCTGTCCCATCGCTATAAAACACGGGGAGTGTGTCTTTTGCCTATCATTGTCAGAGGTCTGCCATGAGTAATCCAGTTTCCATTTTGAGAAGGGTGAAAAACCAGGTTATGGTATTTGATTTAAAGTCTATTGAAGGCTCTGTTCCCCCTTAAAACCTGTATCAACGTGTACTTCATCTCTGATGTTTTGAGTTTCTGTATTCCTTCAGTATTCATCTTTATTACTATAATCTTGTTCCGGATTAGTCACGCTTTCCACTCAGTTGTGGTCGTTGTGGAGAGAAGGTCCTTGCTATCTAGACTTCTATACAAGTACAACGCACATAGCGCCCTTTCTCTCAACAGCCTTAGAAAGCTCTGCTGACACCCCTGGGATACACACTCACCCTTAAAATATTATTATAGTACAAATGAGCATATTTTAGTAAACATGAACAAAAAATGTTCGATCGAACTAATCTAAAATTTCACCAGTGCCCATAAAATATTATTAGTACAAAGCAAAGATAATATATATATAGATATGCAGGCAGGTAGAAACGTCCTTCCTAAATTGCGTGTAGCAGACAACTAATTTTTGTCCCTCTGAGATAAAGTGCAAGGAGAGACATCTATAGCAAATTGATTACTTTCTATATTCCTTTCTCCCCTTAAACTTGCACATTTAAACTTTGTTTAGTAAAATTCCTACCTCAGTTTTATTTGCATTGATTAATTTGTTTCATTAAGTACAATATGCAGTATACATTGTTGATACTATAGTACGCATTTAGTGTTATCACGCATAAACAAAGTAATAAATTAGCAACAATCCAGAGGATAAAATGCCATGCGTACGACAGAGATGGTGCTGATCGTACTTTTTCTCAAGACCTTAAAATTTATACCTGCCTGCATATCTCTATATATATTATCTTTGGTACAAAGGAACATATTTTATAAGTGCAAATGAATTGAAAAAATGAGTATACTCAAATGAGTATACTCAAATCCAATATATATATATACTCCACTTAACTGACCTACGCCAAATCCGCTATACTATACATCCGACAGCTAGTATCACGTGGTTTTACAGCTGCTAGATGGACTTTTGGCCGCAGTGCCAGGCCATAGCCTGTCCTAGCCGCGTCGCTCGGCCCCCTAGCCTGTCCTAGCCGCAGCGCTCAGCCCAGAAATTGTCTTAACCTAACCTAACCCTCAAATAATACAAAAATAAACAGCTGGCTTAGGTCCGATATTGCCGTAGGTCGGAAAGTTAGTAGTTCAGAAGTTCAGTGGGGGGGATGTTGCGTAGACGATGTAACATTACCTATAAGATTTCTCCTGAGCTCCACTGGTTCGCCAATAAACCCCATTTTAAAGGTTAACCAATAAACATTTCAACGTGGTGAGATGAACCTAGTTTTATAACCCACATGAAGATAATTGAAAACCAGATACCTTTCATACCCAACTAATCTTTTTAATAAAGTTATATGCACCATTTTAAACGTGGTTCAAGGAATTGAGTTTTTGCCAGTGCCACTATAACTCTGATTGTATAATCCTCATATCATACATCGTTGCAAATCCATGTCGTAGATCTGAGATATTTCAAACTATGAATTCTGAGGCCAAATTTGAAGAATTTGAGTTACGGCTTGAATTTGAGACGCGGCTCAAAAATGGTACTAGCTCCACATAAAATTGTATTCTATTTTTCAAGATTTAAGCCGCAGTCGGCACTCAATTGAAACCGGTTTTGGGGGAATTTGTGACGCGACTCAAATTCATTAAATTCGGACTGTCATATTAAATGATCTAAGTTTGAAATATCTTAGGTTTAACTATCAGGTTTCAAAGACAATTATATGATTTGAGTTTGTGGCAAAGACTCAATTCCTTGTTATAACTGCTAAAATATCTGAAAATAAAAACATAAATCAGAAATCCATTCATGCTTTTTAAATCATACATTAAATAAAAACATGAGCAAGATTAACACTAGTTCATGAAAATGTAAATGATTATTTTGAAAATTTAGAGATTGAAATGTAAATTTTCTGTTCTAATCTTTATTCTGTGTAGACTTGTAGAGTGTATAACTGGAAAGTGGCAGAAATTTGTGAATATTTAATGAACAACAAGCGCCCAGTGAATTTGCAGTCTTTTGCAAGAAATTTTGCAAATCGAAAATCTATACATTGGAAATAAATAAATTGTCGCCTGATACAATTCTTTTCTTTTTTAAAAGAAATATTGTGTGGTTTGCAGTATTGGCAGGGTTTAAACCCAGATAAACAATCTAAAAATTTGACAATGCAATGTTACTTTTTTCTTACAATTGTTTTTTTTTTTAAGAGACAAATTATTTCAAGATTTAGTTTAGCGAATAAATTGATCATTTTTTGTTGTCATTTAAATTTTTTTTTAATTTGTTCTTTTCTTTTTGATCCTTCAGCATCAAACCCATTGAGATAAATTGAAAAAAATACTGATTCAACAATTTAAACATAGCATTTTATATTTTTTTTATGAAATATCTTTTAATTTTGAAAGTATTAGTAATAAGTATATATTTTATTTAAAATTAATTAGAATTAAGTATTGATACGATCAGAGTAAGTCAGAGTAAGTCCCACCCCTAGAAATAAGTCAAAGTATGAAAGAATAGCAGTGCATAATTCAGCTCATTTTGGAAAATGTCAAGTGGTGATGTAAGATTGAAAACTTGCATTTTTTCAATCATTAAACCCTATTGAGAAGAATAAAAATGATTTGGTTTCTAATATGCAACCGGATGAATTTGCTTTTTTATATTGCGCGTACAATTGAAAAAGAGGAGCTAAGCGGTCACAAAGTCGTCCAGTAATGTCACAAAAATCTCCTACTCTCTAGTTCGGTGTAGATGAACAATAAACTACAACGCTATTGTATTATACAATTTTGTATATTTGAAGCAAACATATAAATATTCAGTTCAAATTTCTCTAAATTCCACACCTATACCCGCTATATTTTGTATATTTGAAGCAAACCTATAAATATTCAGCTCAAACTTCTCTAAATTCCACACCTATACCCGCTATATTCGGTGTGAAATATATGTTTGTAATCAAAATAATCTAAAAAAGTTAGGAATGTTTGTTTGAAATCAATTGAAAAGGTTTGAACAAGAAATCTTTCTTCTAAACTTAATCTTATTAAAATTATATTTTGATCAGAGAAAACAATGATTTCACAGCAAAAATAATGAAGCATTTGATCGAGAATAGACTAGGTTTATAAAACACATCTCTTTAGACTAAATACCATATTGTTTTTTTTTCTCAATAATTTATTTGAAACAAAATATGATGTTAATTTATTCAATTATTTAAACTAGAGTTGCAATCAGTCTAAAATATATATAAATATAAATATCTTTCTACAGAAACCGGATTTTTGTTTCTTAATTATTAAATTATAAATTTGAAATTACAAAAAAATCTAGATTGTAAAAACATCACAGCATTGAGCAAATAACCAAGTTATCAATTAATTGCAAATATTTCTGAAAATTTACACTTTATGGAAGTTAAATTAGCTTCCTTCTTTTTTACTTTAACATTTTCCAATAAAAAATATGTTCATGCTAAAATACTGCTTTGAAATAAAACCATTAACGAATCTAAATGATTCTTGTGTGGAATAAGGGCAATAAATAAATTTGGATAATAAGGTTGGCAAGAAACAATTTCATTCTAGGATACGTCAAGAAAAAAATGTACAATTTTTCATTTGTTATAGGGGTAATGTTACATCGTCTATACGCAACATCCCCCCTACTGAACTTCTGACCTACTAACTTTCCGACCTACTACAGTATCGGACCTACGCCAGCTGTTTATTTTAGTATTAATATGAGGGTTAGGTTAGGTTAAAACAATTTCTGGGCCGAGCGCTGCGGCTAGGACAGGCTAGGGGGCCGAGCGCCGCGGCTAGGACAGGCTAGGGGGCCGGGCGCTGCGGCCACAAGTCCATATAGCAGCTGTAATACCACGTGCTAGTAGGTCGGATGTGTAGTATAGCGGATTTGGCGTAGGTCAGAAGTGGAGTATGGCGGATATGTGTAGGTCGAAAAATACACCACCGTTATAGGTTCAGATAATATCTAATCCAAACAATAATAAATTCACAAAATAAATAGATAAAATCTACGAAACTTTAATGGTAAGTTTAGTTTTACAGAGTATTTTAAAATTCACTTTGTTTTCAAGATTTAGAGAATTGATAAAGCATTCTTGATAAATTTCTTTGTTTACAAATACGATGACGTTTATCAAACATGACGGGAAACGATCAAGAAAAACATTTTTACAGAAAGTACCAAAAGTAAAATATCAGAAGTGTAAAATTTCACTTCAATCTTTTTATGTCAGATTCAAAATGAGTTAAGCTTAAGTTCCATGTCCCATGCATATAAAAAAATAAATCTGGTAACAGTTGCTCAGTGTATGTATAGGGAAGGTAACTGCAAAATACTGGTACGGAAGCTAAATGTCAAGGGTAGATGTATATGTATATATGTGAGAGTGTGGTTCAGGATGGTTAGGTTTAGGAGAAACCGGTCTCAACATATATCTGGAGTAAGTAGCGTCTCACCGCACATATCCTTCTCCTGCTATACCAATCAACCCAATAAACTTTGTCTGCGGAGGAAAAATATCATGTCTGTTCTTAGTCTGGGTAAGAAGAAAAACTAATCCTTTATAAATGATTACTCTCGTCTTGAACCCCGAGCTGTATCAAGGTTTGACCCGGAGATCTGGTTTCTAAACTAGATTTAACAGTGTGGGTTTGATGATGTTTCGCTAGATGAGCTTTCTGTCTAAAGCTCTTCCCGCAAACCTGACACGTGAACGGTTTCTCTCCTGTATGAGTTCTCACATGTACATTAACACTGTACTTGTCCTTAAACCCCTTGTTACAGATATGACAGTAGTGAAGCAGTCTGCATTCCTTCTTAGGTTCCTCCCGCACCCTTCGCTGATACTTTCTCACCTTGGCCATATGGCTGGAGATGGAAGAGGAGGTGTAGGTGGGACTAATGGACTCCTGGGTCTGGTTGCTGACTAGGCTGGATTTATGAAGCACTAGGTTCCCCGAGACATCCACCTCTATAGAGATGAGGTTCGAGGTTTCCGTGCTTGGTTCTGAGGTTACTCTGGTGTTGGGAAACAACTGACTAGCTCCATCCTTTAGACTGGCGATGGCTTCTTTGCCCTCAAGGGAAAGAAGAAAAATGTCCTCAACCTGCTTCTCTCCTCCGCTTTTAACAGTAGTTAACAAGGCCTTTCTGACCTCCTGAGGTTTAGATTCTGTAACCACGACGGTGGACTTTCCGGTCAGGGCCGACCTCAACAACGAGTTGTTGTTGTTATTGGTGTTATTATTGTTGTCATTTTTAGATTTCATATTTAATTGACTTGAGGTTATAATAATGTTAGTTTGTCGATTTATTAAACTCAACGCCTTCTCACTTATCCTAGAGGATGCTAGGACGGGCTGGGGTAGCTGGCTAGCTAGGATAGTAGCAAGAGGTTTAATATAAGATTTCACTGGTTTTATTGGTTCTAGTCGAGTACTTAACTCAACGTTCCAGTCTAGGGTAGTATCTAGACCATCAGAGGAGGATACAGAGGATTCAGCAGGATCAACCCTCTCAACCACACCAGCCTGGAGCACGTAGTTTAAATCCATATCCTGGTTCGTCTCAGGGGAGAACCTGGAATCCTCGTCCTCCTCCATCCGTCCGTCCTCCTTCAAGCAGATTCTTTCACCGTTGATCAGGGTTATATGAGTGTAGGACTCCTCCTCCTCCATGAGGAAAGGTGAGTTGGACCTCTTCACCTCCTTCTTCACCTCGTCCACGCTCACACCGCAGCGCAGAAGGTCACAGAGATCAGCCTCTGCTATGTCCTCGAACTGAAGGTCAGCAAGGTCAAGAATATCGTGCATGGCGAACATCTTGAGCAGGTTCAGTCAACTCCACCTCCTGTTGACTCTCTCTCTCTCTCTCTCTCTCTCTCTCTCTCTCTCTCTCTCTCTACCAATCCATTTCCTGAAAATATAAATATTAACAAATAAATCTAACAAAAAAAGTTACATTTAATAATTTCCTAATTATATCTTATTTGTGATTGTTTCCTGTTTCATGGTTTGTTTGGTTAAACTAATTTGTTTGATCAAGGTTTGATTTGATCCTGTAAACATTTATTTAATCTTATTAAAAACTTTATTTCCTTATTATTACTGATCAAGAAATAGTTGTACAAATTTTATGGAGCTGGTATATGCATATTTCAAGCCAGAATTTTTAGTTGTTCCATAATTATGTACTACATTAATTGTATAATTACAGTGCATTGTAACACGTGCGTTTTGGGTTCTTTATGCTAAATGTTATCATTAGTTTCTTCGAAGAATTACAAAAAACAAGGTTACAGGTTCCTTCGTTACGATCTGCATGGTTCCTGATTCCTACACTGTATACCTCTATACTTGGTTGCTGGTTCTTACACTGTACAAACCTACTTAGTTCCTGGTTCCAACACTTTGAAAACCTACTTCGTTCCTGGTTCATACACTGAACACATCTCTACTTGGTTCCTGGTTCCGTCAATTTACACCTCTACTTGGTTCCTGGTCCCTACAATGTGCAAACCTAATTGGTTCCTACACTGTACGTATATACTCGGTTTCTGCTTTCTACACAGAGTGCACAAACCTAATTGGCTCCTAATTCCTACACTATACAAACCTACTTGGTTCCAATTGTTCCTAGACTGGTTCCTTCATTGTACAACTATACTTGGTTCCTGGTTCCTACACTGTACACCTCTACTTGGTTCCTGGTTCCTACACTGTACACCTATACTTGGTTTCTGGTTCCTACACTGTACAACTCTACTTGGTTCCTGGTTCCTAACTGTACACCTCTACTTGGTTCCTGGTTCTTACACTGTACACCTCTACTTGGTTCCTGGTTCCTACACTGTACACCTGTTCCTACACTGTACAACTCTACTTGGTTCCTGGTTCCTAACTGTACACCTCTACTTGGTTCCTGGTTCTTACACTGTACACCTCTACTTGGTTCCTGGTTCCTACACTGTACACCTCTACTTGGTTCCTGGTTCCTACACTGTACACCTCTACTTGGTTCCTGGTTCCTACACTGTACACCTCTATAATACTTGGTTTCTTGTTTCTACAGCATTGAGTGCATATTGCAAGATATAACCAAGGTTACGCGGCGCTAGGGCGGTGTCTCTATGAAGACCCGGCTAAAAAGTTGCAAAAAATGTGCGTATAATACGGTCTGTTCGTGAATATATAAAGATGACGCATAATATCTCCGCGTAGATATTATAAGAATTACAGCACGCCCAAGATAAAGAATAGAGAGAGTGCTGAAACTATCATAAAATGATGACGGAAGTATGGTTAAGGATAAGGGTTCCACAGAAATACTTGGACACAGGAAGAAAAAATTACAGGGTGTCCCTCGAAACATGAAAGTTGTTGAATAGTCTTCTTTCATAACTTGTTAAGTTGTTTAATACCAAAGAGAATGATAACAAATATTAATTGGTAGTAATATTATGGTGATAAATTGATTTCAAAGTAGTATTTTGAGTGAAAGATTTGTTAATGAAATAAACTGTAAAAATCTTTAATATCTATGGAAGAACATATTCAAATTTTACACGAACTCTCATGTTTCGTGAGACACACTGTATCTAGGAATTCTCAGTTTTAAAAGACTGAAGTGAGGGGGATTACCCCCCCCCCCCGTATTAAAAATGGCGACTTAAGTGTTACATTTCGACATGTATGTTAATCATTTTTCTGTAAATAATGTTTATTGTTTATCAAGAATTATTTCAATATGATCATTAAGTAATAGTTATGCCATATATTTCTGACGAAAATATAATTTATAAAACATGATTGTTGTTTTTTTAATAAAAAATATTACGATTTTGTTGGTGTTTTTTTCCTGACACCCTGTGTATGCAATAGTGTTCCTATTCATGAAAACCAAATGTTTTATGGTAAAACTTTCCTCAACTTTTCTCAGGTCTTGACCATTAAAAGTTNATTACTAATTCCCCCTCCTTCTTACTCCCTAATTGAATTGGAAGCCTGCTTTAAGCTACAGAAAGAGTAAACAAATAAAATCTCCGATTTAACACGAACATCTGATAAGTTGAACTAAACAAGGAAAACACTAGTTTTAACAATAAATTAAAGAATGCTATTGTAGAATATAATTCTTTGCTCGATCTATGTGTGTTTAAATGTATTTAGTTTCAATTTGTAAATATCTTTGAATCCTTTCAATCGTTCTTCATATCAAATGAATCCCAAAGATAGGTATTTAGATTTTGACACAAACTGAAATTTTTTAATCCCATATATCTTTGTAAACTGATGGTTTAAACCATTGATATTTCAAACTTAGACTATTTGATCTGACAGAATTTATAGATTGCAAAATCAAGGTTTTACTATAAAAAGTTGCAAAAAATAGGGATGAGAAAATCAGAGCTTTTAAGGACCAAGAGTTTCCTATGAGATTCAAGAATTTTGTACAGGATCTAGAGTCTTTTTATTGCCAAGAGTTAAATTTTTAAATTCAAGAGTTTTTTTTCTTAAAGAGTTTCCTAATCCTCGTGTTAAAAACGATTTATTAAGTCAAGAGGTCGCTCGTCTAGTTGTAAGTTATAACCAGTTTTACAATGATGATTTTATATCTTTTCTACCCCCTGCTGGAGCACTAGGAGGGGGGGGAGGCGCTTTACAGCTTCAAGTTAGATCCATTCTTTAATGTAGGACACGTTTCCAAAATTTACCATGCTCATGACGCGTAAAACTTCTGAAATGTACGAATTATATTTAATCATTTAAAATTCGGTAATGGTGATGGACCAAACCTCTGTAGAGTAAAAAAAGAAGTGTTAGTTCCACAATTATTGAAAATATATTTCGGTCTGGGTTGACCCTCGTCAGTTCTTGAGATTGTTTCTGTCACAAAGATTAAAAACAATCCATATTTTATCAAGTACGTTGCACTGTTCACATTCGATTCAGTATGAAAATCAAGTTTGATAGACGGAAAAATAACCTTTTCCATTTAAAAGTCTTAAATATTTATTGTGGAGACATTAACACATTTTTTGCATTAAAGAAAAGGTTAGAGAAATATTTGTGCACAGAGAACGGGCAGGAAAGATATACAGGGTTACCCACAAAGGATGAGACTTCAGAGGAGACTGAACTATATGTTTTTAGTTTTTAACAAACGATTAAAAGACCATTTATGGCAAAAGGAATTGAGTCTTTGCCACAAACTCTACTTTTCTAAACCCTATATCTTTGGATTCCAATGTCGTAGACCTTAGATATTTCAAACTTTGAATTCTGTTCAAATCTGATCAAATAATATAAGTTTGACATATCAAAGATTTACGACATTGGGTTCTAAAGATATAGCTGGATTATACATTCAGAGTTTGTGGCAAAGACGCAATTCCTTTACAAATTTAGCTTACTAAATTGTATTTAAACATTTCAGATCGTTATTAAAGTCTCATCCTTTGATGATAACATTTTATATATATTTTGTCCTTGCCCAGTCCTTGGCTAATGTTGACAACACTAATGTAACAGATAAAGCTGGAGGTCTGCTCTTGAAAACATATTATTTGCAGATCTCTTTTTCTTCTTCTTTAGGTCAACAAATAATACAAATAAAAACTAAAAGTGTAGGACCAAAAGAAGAGAAAGAAAGTGAAGAATTACCAAATCAAAATCTATAAGATAAACATTAGAGCTGTTTTGCAAATATGGGGTAATTATGAACTAGAGACACGGGGGTATATTAAAAATGCAGAAGAGAGAAGAAGAACTGAAATAAAAAGATAAGCAAACAAGATTAGAAGAAATGGAAGAAGAAGATAAAGAGGAAATATGAGAAGAACTGAAAGAAGAAGATAGATATGGGAAGAACTGGAAGAAGAAGGTGGAAATATGAGAAGAACTGGAAGAAGAAGATGAAAATATGAGAAGAACTAGAAGAGAATATGAAAATATGAGAAGAACTGGAAGAAGAAGGTGAAAATATGAGAAGAACTGGAAAAGAAGATGGAAATATGAGAAGAACTGGAAGAAGAAGATAGATATGAGAAGAACTGGAAGAAGAAGAAAAAAAATATAAGAACAACTGGAAGGAGAAAATAGAAAGATGAGAAGAACTGGAAGAGAAGATGGAAATATGAAAAGAACTGTAAGAGAAGATGGAAATATAAGAAGAACTTGAAGAAGAAGGTGAAAATATGAGAAGAACTGGAAAAGAAGGTGAAAATATGAGAAGAACTGGAAGAAGAAGGTAAAAATATAAGAAGAACTGGAAGAAGAAGATGAAAATATGAGAAGAACTGGAAGAGAAGATAGAAATATGAGAAGAACTAGAAGAAGAAGGTGAAAATATGAGAAGAACTGGAAGAAGAAGAAAAAAATATGAGAAGAACTGGAAGAAGAAGATAGATATGAGAAGAACTGGAAGAAGAAGGTGAAAATATGAGAAGAACTGGAAAAGAGGGTGAAAATATGAGAAGAACTGGAAGAAGAAGGTGGAAATATGAGAAGAACTGGGAGAAGAAGAAAAAATATAAGAACAACTGGAAGGAGAAAATGGAAAGATGAGAAGAACTGGAAGAGAAGATGGAAATATGAGAAGAACTGGAAGAAGAAAAAAAAATGTAAGAACAACTGGAAGGAGAAAATGGAAATATGAGAAGTCCAATTCCAGAAGAATAAGATGGAAATAGGAGAAGAATTGAAAGTCAGAGATGGTAATATGAGAAGAACTGGAAGAGAAGATGGTAATATGAGAAGAACTGGAAGAGACGATGGTACGATTAGAAGGCTTGGAAATAGAAGATGGTAAACTGAGAAGAATTGGAGGAAGAAGGAAAGGGAAAATCTGGATGGAAGTAATTTTGAGTGGGTCACGGGGTTAGGTTCAAGAGAGAGAGAGACAATGAGAGAGATAGA